AGGTATTGGATTGAACTTTGGCAAAGCAAGTGGAAATGAGCTCCTGAGAGCTCTTGTATCCTACTCAAGTGTGTTTTATTATAAATTTTAAATTGTTTGAATGTTATAGTTTTCATTATTGTGTAAGTGCTATTGTTATTGAACTACGTGTTTTACATGTTTTCTTGGCCTCACGAGCATTCGCTCACCCCCGTTAGATTTGTTTTCCTTAACAGGAGTTGGAATGGAAAGAAATGTGAAGAAGCCGACTCGACGGCATTTTGATTGGGGTGTTTGAATGTAATTGTTAGACAACTTTTAGAGGTTGTATTTTGGGAAAATGATGTACTTTTGAGAACTGTGTTGTGAAACTTGAAAGTTTATTTAAGGAAGTGACTTTGCTTACTTCGATTGTTATTTCTTGGTTGTTTATCTTAAGTTTGAATTGAAATTGTATCGAATCCTAGCGAGAGTTGGGCAGGCGTTCCGCGAATACCCTTAGGTTCGCCCTTGGGAGAAGTGGGGGCGTCACATTAACCTCCGTAAATCTAACAAATTAGAGCAAACTCTGATACCACCATGTTGGGAGGTACTCGGTTTTGAATAATCACAACACACAGCGAAAACCTCTCCAATTTGCTAGAACAGATTAGGAGCATTAAGCAAGACAAAAAATCATCAACTAACAAAAGATAAATTAACCCACGAACACAAAAGAAACAACCACAAGAAGACACGAGAATTTTTACTTGGAAAACCTCTCCAATATGAAGAGGAAAAACCATGAGACTCTTAAGCCCACCGCGAATTACTTCACCATCACCAATTAAGAGTAGAGTACAACTTTCAGCAAGTACACAATTGAGATATGACCTTAAACAATCAACAAAGTTGCCAAATCCCAAATAAAGAACAAAAACTGTGAAAAACTTCACTAGAAAATAGCAGCAGTCCAAAATTTATAACTAATGATTGAACCATTGAAATCCGATCTCCACCGTACTGAACGTAGAACTGGATGTCTTCTACCTTCAGTTAAAATTTCAGGCCGATCAGACATCGTTCGCTATGTTAATCGGCAATTTACCGCAACTACTTAAACCAAAAACTTGCTGAAATTTCTCTTCAGAATTTTTTGCGTTTTTCCCACTTTTCTACTTTTGGAATAAACCTAATTTGACCTATAAATAGGTAGGACATCTCCTTGATGGGCCTAGACAATTACCCATTAATTTTGGACTTTTCCACATAAGTTGGGAGCCCAAAAACCCAACAAAAAGAAAATACTTAATCCAAAACTCAATCTTGAATCAAAGCGAATCAAAATCATGTCACATAAGAAAACTAAATTATGATTTAACCACACCAAAAGCTTACTCGATAAATCAAGCTTTCAACCCAACTCAAACCGCTAATATATTTAAAGTATCAAGATTTATTTTAGTTGATAGGCAATTAAGGATGTCCTAGCTCCTCAACGATGTCCTAGCTCCTCATCGTTTGATTAAACTTGATTGTCGAAAAATCCACCTTAATTTGGGAGGAAAGGAAGAGAAATGGAAAGGGATTTGGAAGATGAGAGGAGAAGGGTGGAAGAAGAAAAGGAATTAGGAAAGTTGCCTGAATAGCAACCCAACTAACCACTTATCTTCTTCCACTAACTTTTTCATTTTACACAAGAGATCCTCCAATTCCTAAGCTATTGGTAGTCTCATCCTGACGGTTTCTATTTTTCTCTAAAGATCCAACCCAAGAGATTTGGTATTTCATATTGGATGTAAATCTTTATTATTTTTTGAATAAGATGTGGTTTACTTTAAAATGAAAAAAATAATATGATAAAAAAAAATAAAATACTACATAAACATATCATAATAAACCATTTTGAAATAATTTACATAACTCAAATGGTACTTGTCTAATTCAACTCTTTTCATGTTATTAAGTTTTTAGAAATAACAATTCCAGTGCATAACTCAAACGGGATATTGTAAGTATAACTTAAGTGATATGTGTTATTTATATTTATCCACTTGCTTCATCTGTAAAAACTTGTTTCTGGTGTTGCAGAAGTTCCTCCCACAATGCATTTTAGATCCACAGGCACCTATTCTTGTTTGGTTGCTTATATTTATATGCCCTGAGGTATCAAATTTAGTTGTTCACTTGTTTGAGCAGTTCTTTTATTTTTGACTCCTTATAGTGTTGATGCAAGTCAAGTGACCTGTTCAATGGGTTTTTGGTGCATTTAAACCACTTCTGATGTTGTGTTCTTTAGGAAGTGTTTGTCGTAAATCATACTTATTTATTTCTTGTATATTTGGGAAACAATCAGACACGGCAAAATTCTGCGAATCCTTGGTTGTGATTTGCTACTTGGATGGTCGGTAATTATGAATTTGGTGCTGGCATGCAGCTTCAAGGTCTCAGTAGATTTGGAAATTATTCTGAGCTCAACTTGTGTAATGGAAATTGAAGTTTTTTTTTGGGTATTGATTCCCCTTCTTTTCCCCCTCTTCCTTTGAAGAAGAAGAGGATTAGCTATTTGGTCTTTTTTACACCTTGAGAGAAGCTTAGCAAATGAGTCTGAAAGATTTGAAGATTTGGTTGGGGATATGGGATAGTATTGGTGTAGTATTTTAATGACTTCTGATGCGAAAAGTGGGCAGCATATGGGCTGCTTAAGAGCCACATTTCTAGTTCAAGTAGTTCGATTTTTTATTAGTAGATTAGTAGTTTATTTTCCAGATTTCTAGTTAATTTGGTAAGAATAAATTCGGTCCTAGACCTCAAGTTGAGTTGGATCCGAATTAGTTGTCAAGTCCCTTGGTTAATTGAGTCATTTTGTTAGTTATTTTCTTGTGTAATAATTGTTGTGAATTAGTTGATAGTATTAGGTAAGTTAAGTTGAATCCATTAATTTAGGTATAGTAGGGTTATAAATATTTGTATTTTTTTTATTCAAAAAAATAGAAGAATTGACGTTTTTTTAGAGAGTTTTCTCTTGACTTGTCGCCGACCCCTTTGAATACTTGAGATGGATTCTTGAGTGTTCATCTATGGCTTATCAATCAAAGAACACATTTGATTGTGACGCCTTCTTATCAACCTTAATTCATTTTGAGCAGTCTTTGATCCAATTGGATTGCATCTCTTATACCAAGGTTCATTGTCCACGTGAATAACGGGTTGAGGTTCTTTTGTGCCCATAACCTGATCAAGATAGATCATTCTATTACCTGATCAATTGGATTTCTTCTCAAGCGTTGCTTGGAGAATCGGGTTCATATCAACTTCACTGTATGAAGTTGAAATTTTTGCCTAGTAATAAAATGTTTAGCTTCGCATCAATCCAAAAACTGGAAGTGGATGATAAAATCTTTGCATTTTCTTTTGTAAATTTTATTGTTCTTGTAATAGTTCAATCAATTGCGAGGTCTATAAATGGGAGTCCATTTACTCAAGTGCTATTCTTCAAATGGTATAGCCTTTGCTTCCATCGTTGTCAATGATAGATTACAGACATTTTTCTATCACTATTAACAATTTGCAGCTGAAATTTCATATAAAATTTTATAGAACTCTTCCATATTCATGTCATTTGGTGGACGGACGATTTATTAGCACTTCCTCATATGGGGTTGGAAAAATACAAAACGCATGAAAGCTTTGGTGATTGGTGTTTATGCTCAGTTGCGCTTTTTTTTTTTTGTTTTACAGTGTTGTGCAGATATCAATATGACATGATATGTGATCGTGCAATTTGTCCTACCAACATTCAATGGATCACAAATATTGGTTTCCTTATTGTTTTGTTGCCTAATGCGCCTTGAGTTTTTAAGAAACATCATTGATATTGATTGAGGAACCCTAATTTTTTCAATCCATCTTTCTGTATTGTTGGGACTTGGGACTGTTCGGGAATCAATTATAATTAAATAAGAGTAAATTTTATATACATTGACAGTGATATACTATCACAGTTGGATGCATGACACAAATGCAAAATTTGGATTTTAAATTTAAATTCGAATTATGTGTTATGTATTCACTGGTGAAAGTGTACATACTGTCAGTGTATAAAAGATTAATCAATTAAATAAAGTGGGTGGTCATAGTAGTTTTAGTAATATTTTTTATTAGTTTTCTTGTTAATTTTATGATCAAGGGTTGTAATTATGTGGTGAAAGAAAAAATGTTTCGAAGGTCTGTTTGTAACTAAGGATCCATAGACAGATCCCTTAGTAAAGCCCAGGGATCTATCCACAGATCAAAGCAGGAGATTGGTTCCGACAAAATCTAGCACCAGACATTGGGCCAGACTTTGTCTGGTCTTAGTCGCAGCCAATTTTTATTTTCGATTTGGTTTCTATTTTTCATTGAATTTTTTTAGGGTTCTAATATTAGTTCATTTCCAAGTCTAATTAGGTAGATGTTCATGGAGTTTTTTTATTCATCAAGTAACTTGTTTTTTTTTGGAAAAGTAATAGAGGTTGTATTAATCAATTAGATTGCTGGATATCGTCCAACACCAACTGTTTGACAAAAGCTGGGGGGGGGAGTTCTAGAGAGAGTCAAATAGGTTGGATGATCTAGCAAACTGTGCTAAACCATGCGCAATCTTATTTGCTTCTCTAGAAGTCCAGACTACATCCACAATGTGTAGGTCAAGCAAGGAAAGACGAATGTCCCCTATAACAGTGCTGAGGTCAGAGAGGACCCCGTCTGAGCTACTAATTTGCTTAACAACTGAGGACGCGTCCCCTTAAAGTATGAAGCTTGGGATCATCAATGTCCTAGTCAGCGATACCACCTCCCTTGTAGCAAGAGCCTCTGCCAACTCTGCACTAGTTTGGATTGGATAAGCTGGCAATGAATTGGCCATCACAATCATGAATAACCACACCAATCCCAACAACACGGTGAATTGTTCATATAGAGGCATCAAAGTTGATTTTGAAGTAGGGAGCTAGCGGTAGAGACCAAAATGAAGAAGGCCTTGGTGACGGCATAGTTGTAACCTAGAGGTTGGCCTCTCGAAAGGCTGCCTGACTGTTAAGAGTATAGCTAACCAAAGTTAAGGGGTCCCGAATCGTACCATTAAAGAAAGCGTTATTTCTGTTGCCACAAATTTCATAACTGAGAACAGCAAAATCCTCGCAATCCTTAGGTGGTAAGGTCCCAAGAATCTCCTTTACCCAAGCATTTGCAAAGGATTGACAACATGCCCGGATTTTCCTCGCCAAGAAGCTAAGCGCCCATATTTGAACGGAGACTGGACATTCAAAAAGAAGATGGGATAAGTCACCAGATGGTCCATTGCACACCAAACATTTGTTCTCCACAGGTATCCTTCGTTTTTGGAGATTGTCTGGTGTAGGTAAAGAATTGTGACAAATACGCCAAAGGAAGTACTTCTTCTTGTTAGGGATATCAAGCGACCAAATCTTCTTCCAAACTACATCATTACCAGAGCTAGAAGACGCTTGTGCCGTCTGACGAACATCAAGGATGTATGAATCCATTATTGCATGATAAGCACTTCGAACCAAGAACTTGCCATTCTTTGTATGGTGCCAAAGCCATCTGTCTTTTGTCAAATATTTGGAAAGAGGCAAGCTCTTTATCAAAGAAGCTTCCTCTTCCCAGAATATTTCATCGATCAAGGCTGTGTTCCAGCTGCGGAGATCTTGATGGATAAGGTCTGCAACACAAGTGTGATAACCCAACACTCGAGGCGGAGAACAGATACAAAAGGATTATGGACGGGGCATCCAACGATCATGCCAGATACAAATAGAGCTACCTGAACCAACTTGTAGTCTACAACCAATGTTTAGGGCTTTCCGACCTTCAAGAATTCCTCTCCATGTGAATGAAGGACGATATCCCAACCACGCGTGAAGAAAATCTGTCATGGAAAAATATTTAGCTTTGAGTACACGATGAAGAAGGGATGTTGGTGTAGTAAGAATCATACAAGCTGTAATGATCCCACATTGGTTAGGGAGGAGAGTCCTGACTGCTTTATAACCTATTATGGGTGTCCCCCCACCTGACCGAGACCTTTTGGAGGGGTACTGGACTCTTTGACCTGCGGGCTTGAGCTTTTCACTTGTTGTGGGCTATAACTTCACCTCCAAGAACAAAACCCACGACCTTTTGGATGGCTAACTGTGGGACAATATTGGTCAGAGGTGTTAGAGTTGGTATCAGAGCTGACTCCTGACCCTGGTGTGCCAGCGAGGACGTTGGGTCCCCAAATGGGGTGGATTGTAATGATCCCATATCGGTTAGGGAGGAGAGTCCTGACTGTTTTATAACCTGTTGTGGGTGTCCCCCCACCTAATCGAGGCCTTTTGGAAGGGTGCTGGGCTCCTTGACCTGCGGGTATGGATTTTTCACATATTGTGGGCTATAATCTCACCTCCAAAAACAAAACCCACGACCTTCTGGGTGGCTAACTGTGGGATGATATTGGTTAGGGGTGTTAGACAAGCTTTTTCCCCAGCATAGCATAGTTGAAGGCTTTCATGTTCCGAAAGCCTAATCCACCTTGATTCTTAGGGATACATAATCTATTTCAGTTGATCCAATGTGTTTTGTGCGTCTCCGTTTGATCACCCCACCAAAAGTCGGAAACCATGGATTGGATGTCCCTTAAGATGTTGTTAGGGAGGAGAAAACACGACATAGTATACGTAGGAATGGCTTGGATGACAGCTTTGAACAGTACTTCTTTACTCGCTCGAGACAAGCTCTTCTCCTTCCAGCTCTGCAAACGCTGCCAGACACGATCCTTTATAGATGTAAAAATTTGAGATTTGGACCTACCAATTACTAACGGAAGTCCCAAATATTTCTCGTGCAATTCAACTATTGGCATATGTAGGAGTTGGGAAATTACAGTTCTAATATCCTGTGTTGCATTGGTACTAAAAGTAATTGTAGATTTGTCAAAATTGACACACTGTCCAGAAGCTTTTTCGTATAGTTGGATGACCTGTTGGAAGTTGGCAGCTTCCTCTAGAGAGGCTCTACCAAAAAGAAGGGTATCGTTAGCAAACAGAAGATGCGATATTGATGGAGCTTGTGCGTTGATTGTGATTCCTTTCAACTTTCCACATCTTGAGAATTCCTGCTGGAGACAGGAAAAGGCCTCTGTACAAATAATAAATAGATAAGGTGAAAGAGGATCACCTTGCTTAAGTCCCCTCTGCGGGAGTAAAGATCCAACCTAGGCCCCATTGAGGATGAACGAAAATGAGACTGAAAAAATGTATTTATGGATCTGAGAAACAAATCGAGCATCAAAGCCAAGAGCATGCATTACTCGAATAAGGAAATTCCATTCGATTCTGTCAAAAGCTTTCCTCATGTCTAACTTAATAGATATCAAGCCGTCTCTCCCTCTGTACTTAGGTTTAATGAAGTGATGCAATTCATGTGAAACTAAAACATTATCAGTGATCAACTGTCCCGAGATAAAAGCAAGCTGGGATGAGGAAATAATGTTCGGTAACAAAGACTTAATCCTATTTGCAACCACTTTAGACGAAACAAGACCAGGAGATTTGTAAGGATGCATTTGAGAGAGTGCTTTTGTTACCTTTTTTATCGTGAAAGTCTCGAGAAGGCGCTTATTCATCTCTAGTGTTACCTTGGCTCGGATACGTTCTAAGACAATTTGTAAACCCCTCTCTAATTGATTTGAATGGGCAAAAAGTTTGCGAAAATGATCAAGGATTATTGCCTCGTTGTCCTTCAGATTTTCATACCATGAGCCATCAGAATTATAAAGACCTCTAATTGTGTTAGTTTCATGCCTATTTGACGCATAGGCATGGAAGAAGAAAGTGTTCCTGTCCCCAAACTTATTCCAATGTTGCTTAGCCCGCTGCTTCCATTTCACGTCTTCTATATCCAGAAGCTCATCAAGCTTTTGCATAAGATTCCTAGCTTCAGCTTATGAAGCATCGGATATAGGACCTTGTTGAAGGATATCGATTCGCTCCTTGAGCTGCTTCATCTCCATTTTGACATTACCAAATGAAGCTTTGCTCCAGTGCATCAAGCCCAGCTTATAGTCATTAAGATTTTGGGGAACATCCTTGCTAGAATTACATTTACACTGGATAACACGAGCACAATCATCAGATTTTAGTCACATGGCTTCGAAGCGAAAAAGGACGCCTTCTCCTTGTAGAAAAATCAGAGGGTCAATCTTTTGCTGCTACCATGATAGGCCTATGGTCAGACACATGAGAAAACAAGTGTTGCACAGAAGACCATGGGAACATTAAGCACCAGGCAGGGTTGGCACAAGCACGATCAAGGCGGGCTTTAACCGTAAGGGGGGAACTAGTGTTTCGAAACCAGGTATATCTGTAGCCGTCAAAGCCGAGATATGAGAGGTCATTGTGAGCGAGTGCGTCTTGAAATTGATCAATTTGCCATTGTGGCCGAGGGCCACTTCCTTCGAACTCGTCTGGATCTAATATTTCATTGAAGTCCCCTAAACAAAGCCAAGGCAGCTGTGAATGATGTTTTAAGGTCCTAAACTTAGCCCATGCATCGCGCCTAAGAGATGTGTCTGGCTCACCATATACACTAGTTATTCGCCAAGATTACGTTTCGGGATTAACTCGGACAACTGCATCAATATATCGATGGGAAGAACTTAGAATTGAGACATCGATATCTTTAGGCCAAAGAAAGGCAAGCCCACCAGAGCGACCATTAGCATCAACAGACATACCAAAGAAATTAATTTTCGACTTTAGCCTTTCAACTATACTACTTCTACATTTAGTTTCGCAAAGAAACAAAATTTTGGAAAATTTCTGTCTGGCTATGTTACAGACTTCACGAACTGTCTGAGGGTTCCCAAGCCCTCGGCAATTCTACCTGATAATATTCATCAGCCTCGGCGGGATTGGCTGGAGGAGCCAGTCTCCGTCGTTATAGTGTTGTCAATGCGAATCAACTCTTCGGAAGTGGCCATGGAATCAGCTTCATCCAGCAACTTATGTTTCTTTGAAAGCGAAGTCGAAGCTATCAGCAAGAGTGATTTCCTTTTCCTAGAGGTGCTAGTCTTAGACTTCGAAGGGGTTAGCCGAGGAGCAAAAGCTTGCCTTCACTTCCAGGTTTGACGTTATGAGCTATTGACTTGCAAGGGAACTGAAACAAGGAATTGGCTACTCAAGTGGGCCACTATGGAGGCCGCAACTGGACAATGCAGAAGAGAGCCCTTGTCAGGTCCATCGTCAATGAGCATAGTGTTTGAAATATCCTCCAACGTTTCCAGAATAAGGCTATGCCCCTTCTCATGTACGGTGTTAGAATTAAAGTCTGTGTCCTTGTCTGCTACAATAACAGCAGTTGCTGCATTCTCAACATCATTAGGAGTTGTTTGCGGAGACTTGTTTAAAGCCAGATCCTTATCCCCACTCATAATGTTTGGTTCCTGATTCAACGGCGAGAATAATTCCACATTCTCATCACAAGAATTATGCGCATCTTGGTCATTCTCTCCTTGATCAGATGACTTTGAAATTTGAATCTCACCCATTTCCTGTTGGACATCTCCTTTCGTTGCGCTAACTCTTCTTTTGCTGGAAAGCTTCTTCGTCGTTTTCACACGAGTGGACGAAAGGGCACCACTGTTGAACTTTGCCTAAGCTTTGAACGGAAGTTCCCTCCCATCAGTAGCCGGGTCTGAAAGGCGATCCTCACACTCTCGATCGCCATGACCAAAGCGACCACAATAGAAACAGATGTTTGGGAGCCTTTCATATTGCAGCAGCAGCCTAAGCTCTTCCCCTCCATGCGAGATCAGCATCATTCGCCTCAGCGGTTGATTAATATCCAGAGAGACACGGATGCGCATATATTTACCCCATGGCAAACCATCGGCATCTATATCAAAATCGACAAAGGAGCCCAGGCAGTCACCACTCACCAATGACTTTTGCAGATTCAATGGACATCAAGTCTAGTGGGACATTAAAAATCCGGAACCAAAAGCAACAATGGGAGAAAGGAATTTTCCAAGGAGGGACATCTCTTTTCAACATAAGTAGATAAAGAGCGAAGGGCTCTGATGACTTGGAATGTTTTCGTCGTCCTCTCACGTGCCAAGCATGTGATTCGCCCTATTTTTTTTAGGCCTCTTCTAACCCTAAATCACGCTCAAGTTTTGAGGCGCCGCTTTTCATCTTCTCCTCTTCCTTTCAACTGATTTCTAACCTCTCATTCCTTCTTCCTCTTCCTCTCTAAATCGCCGTCATCTCTTATCTTTCTTTCCTTCTCATTCTTTGATATTCCTTTCCCCCCTTCATTCCTTTTTTGCCTGATTAATCACTCTCAAATCTCGGCCGACTCGCTCCATGTCCATCCAGCACCACCAGCAGGGCAGCCGCTCCTCCTGCCGCAAAACCAGTCCTCCATAGTGATCTCTTTTTCTTTGGAATCCTCCGCCGTACTCCAAATCCAAGCTATTTTCCTACAGCACTTTGATTGCAGATCTATATACTCTACTCGCTCCTTTTTCTCTGTCTGATGCCAACTGGTAATATTGCTATCTTTTTTTTTTAATTAATCGATGTTTTTACATCTAGAGACTTGTTATGGTTTCGAGTTTGGATCATGTTTATTAGCAGCTTGCTTTTGCTTGGGAGAATTTTGAATTTCGATTTTAATTGTGTTTCCAAACGGTCTCCTCTAATTGTGATTCACGCTTAATTCTTCTGGGGAGTGGTTACCCTGTCTTTGTCCTACACACGATTTTTGGAGAAAAGAAAAAATTTCCTGACAGTTTATTTGTTGATTGATTCAGTCCTGAATCTGGTGAATTAAGGTGACAATTATTCTGATATATGATTGAAATCTTTATCACACTACGAAAAATGTTTCAAAAAAATGTGAAAATTGTGGAAAGAGTTGAGGATTTGAATATCTAGATTCTGAAAGTCGTTAGGGAACCTTTCTTCATCTTGGTGAATGTTTAAATACTTTACAGGTAAGTGGTGTAGTTTTATTTTTTTTCCTCATTCTTCATGATATCCTTTGCTTTTGGTAGTGCTCAGTAATGTAGGTGCAACTATATGTTCAGATTAAACAGACAAGAATTTGGAAATTTATGTAACATCAAAATAACTGTTATGTGATAGAGCAATTAAACAATTAGGTTTCTTGACTGCACAGTTCTATTTGAATCTAAATGTCTTACTGTTTGCTTTTGCCTACTTGATGCTGTTTACAATTTGCTTAATAGAGGGATCATGCTAAGCTTGGATGCTGATGTAGTGAAGTAGAATTCAAAGGGTGTTAAATTTAGTGGATCTGTAAAATGAAGAATGACAGCGTTTAATGGAACACCTTGCAGTTTTGTAGTTAATGATGCTAAAAAAAGAAGAAAATTTTCACCCTCTCCTCCCATGACATGCTTCTGTTTAGCAGAATTTCTAGAAAAAGAATGAGAAGGTCAAGTTCAAGTGCTGAGGGGAAAAAAGGAGGAAAATTACAAAATGAGAATCTTTGTCGCAATGGTGAAATGACTTGGTTACCTTTTGTACAATAGAAGTTACTCTTTTTTTTGTTTTTTTTGGGGGGAAGGTGGTTTCCAACTCTTATATACCAGTATGTACCAATAAATATGCATTTTACACATGGCTGCCCCTCTTGGTTTGTCAATTTAAGTTTCTTTTTTTTAGCCAAAAAGGTATTCCATGACTTTGATATCGTTCAAGTGCTTCTTCCCTGTTTAACATATTCTTAATCTTGGGATTTTACATAAATGTGCGATAATGTTGGACAGCCTGGGATGCCAAGACAGCCACCTAACTCACAGCCAAATCCATTTGGGAGTTCCTACTTTGCAGGATTGTCTTTTGCTTGTCAGCTTTTGTATCTACTAGATGCTACTGGGTTCTATTCTTTAGGATTACACGTTCTTGGGATTCATGTTTGTCGAGCTACAGGGCAGGAGCTGGTACTTATTCTAGGTATGTGTCATGTGGACTGATCTATTAGATCTACTATCATTCTTCTTGTCTGTGGACTATCTTTCCTATCTATATCAGTTTACAACTTGGTAATCTATACTTATATAGGATCTTGCATGGAAATTCATGCATATTTCCAAACCATTAATGTTGATAAAAAATATTTATTCTTAATGATCTATAGAGGCCCTTCAAAATGGAGTCTCTTGATGAATCTACCTCTTCCTCCATCAGCCATGGTATTCATGTCTTCCATTGCCCAGTGAGTAACGGTATCATTAATGACATTGAAATGGTTTTTCATTTTTTAGTTGGATTAGGCCAAATGAGGTATAAAGATGGAATTTTTAATTCTTTGATTTTGTTTTCGGTGTGTGAAAATTGCAGGATGAGTTGGGAATAGTTGCAAAGCTATCAGAATGTATTGCTTCAATAGGTGGAAACATTCTCAATGCTGATGTTTTTGCGCCCGAGGACAAGAATGTGTTTTACTCTAGAAGGTCTATTGCACTGCCTTGCACTTTGTTTCTTGGTACATTTTTCTATGGCAAGTTAATAAGTTGGTTTTGTCCTTTCTTCTTATGCTTTTCTGGATTATCTGGCTTATGTTTGAGGTACTGTGAAGTGGATTTAGGCCAGATGTTGAGAGTTATGGTCCCTTTTGTGATTTATTCTTCAATGGTAGATATGGTTATTCTTCAGTGGCAAATATCGTAATGATTGCTGTTGGTGTTCATCTAAATGATTTTGGGTTTACAATCATAAGGTCAATAGAGTGAGATTTCTTCCCAGCATCGTTCAAAGACTTGGTTGATTGACATTTAGAATTCTAGAATATTTTTCTGTTTCTTCATCTCATCTACCATTTTGATCTTCAGTTCAAATGTCTTTTGCTTTAATACAACAGAGTAGAGCATTGGAATCACTGCATTTACTGCTTCTAATGTTTTTTTTGTTATCATACACTTGTGCTTTGACCTACCAGAGTAGCATTATTCAATTACACATTGCAATGGCTGTATTTCAAAACTTCAGTTGATTTCTGCAGGTTCTTTCTGGAAACTTCTTCAAAAGTTTTGGAAAAGCTATTATTAATATTCATCATGGCTTATTGCCTTCTTTCAAGAGTGGTCATCAAGCTAAATAGGTTTTTTTTAAGCCTTTTTGAAATGCTTGTTTTAATCATTACCCTTTACTTCTTTTTGGTAGATTGTAACCTGGCATTCACAATTTGCAAACATTTGATGCTGGCGTCAAATTAATTGGTGCACCAAGTCACTTTGTTACTAAAGAACTTGACTTGGCTAGGTTCAAGACTTGACAAGGTTTATGGGTGCACAATTGCAGGTCTGTTGTCTCTATACATCTCACAGAGTCACAGGCTAACAAATAATTGCTATCATTCATGCTCATTTTAATTCATTTCTGAAGCAGAGACTGGTTTCTTTTTTTTTCCCGGTGATTATAGTATCTAATAAGAGCATTTACATTGTTGGTCATTGGGGACAGTATGTTGCTTTACATTGTTATTGTCATATTCATTACCTTTAAGATTGCATATATTGCACTTCCCTTCATATGCTTTGTTATCTGCATTGTGTTGTTTTAGTTCACATATCTCTTTCACCTTTTGGCAGCGTGTGCTTTAGTGTGTTTACACCTTCTGTTGTTTACAGGTTGCTTTGGATGAAGCAGCTTTCTTGTTGGATTTGGCTTCTGTGGAAGGCACCTGGGATGACAATTTGGAGCGGATTGCTGAATGTTATCGGGAAGCTGGGCTCCATGAAATTGCCAAATTTGTGCTATACAGAAATTGAACTGAAGTTGATTTTGGCATATGCTTATCTTGCTTTCATGTACATTTCCAATTTTGTAATCTGCTGCCGCCTACAATTCTGGAATTACATCTGAAGATGATATTTTGGATTATGTTATGACGTTGATTATAACATCTAATTGAATTCAAGACCAAGTTTCTGTGCCTTCCCAAGTCACCTGCACAAGCAGGCCTTTAGCTCTACGTTCTGCAAAAAGCCTAAAACCTCTTATAGAGAGCATACTCTCTCTCTCTCTCTCTCTCTCTCTCTCCAATGACCAACTTAAGATTTGAATACTCTTTTCGGTGAATGCTCTATCCTTGTAAGTTCTATGTGTTGAACATAGATGGTCTAGATTATTCCTCCTCTCAAAATTGCTGTATTCTTGGTATAATAAAAAAAATTAATTTTAATTCAATTGAAATGTATTCTTTTGAATTTATATACAATAGAAGAAACAAAGAGGCACTCACCATCTCTCTCACATGGATATGCAAGGCACAAATCACACTGTAGTATTCTAGCCAAAAAAAATTAAACCAATTTTCACTGTTACTGGATTGCACACTTCAGTTTTAGCATTAGTTCACAGCTTCTTTAGCAATCCTCCACTTCCCCTTTTCGTTCTGGGAACGATAGCGAAAGAACCAATCTCAGCTTATCCTTTGAATAATTAACACCATTTGAACTTGCCACTTTCTCTGGATGTTCTATTGTCCAATTTGGGCCAAAGGTGGAATAGCTATTACCCTCTAGAATAATTTCCTTGGTTTTAGGAGGCTTGAGATCCCTGCTCTCGTATTTGTCTTCAACTAGCATTTTATTTAGAAGAGATGACCGCTGGCGAGTATTCTTCTCAGAAGTTGTCATGGTGGCAACAACAGGATAGTTTATCAAAAAGGGCCTTAACAAAAAGAGCAGCCTTTATGGGTGAAGCCAATGCCTTTAACTACTTCCCATTCCTACAATCTCCCAGCTTTTCTAAAGCTCTACAATCTCCCAGTCCTACAAATACAAAGCAACAAAGGAAATTCATGAATCGCAATATTTTCCAGTTTGTTAGTAGGAGAGAAATGACTGTAAGGGCTTATGCCACCATCCATGAATTACGGAAAGATTTCAAAACAGTTCAATAATCTTAGAACTCTTTGTGCCAGTGAGATATTCCTTTATATTTCACAATTTTAAATTTCTTTTATTGTTATCCAATTCAACTGAAGAGGAATTCAAAAACTGTACCCATAGCATTTTAATTTCATTATTCAACTCAGGTAATTCATTGTCAACTAATATGAGAATTCAATCACTTTTTTTTTCAAGCTGCTATAATCACAATTGGATCAATGTTGCTATATAAAATGAAAATGCCTTCAAATTTAGCTTAGTATTTCCCTTTTCTCCGTGAAGCATAATATATACTTGTGGTCACACTATATATTTCTAGACTTCATGAAAGATGGTAAACTTGATTTTCATGTTAAACAAGAAATGGCATTAGATAAAAAAAGAATTTTCCAAGTTCTAGCAAAAGTAGTTCTATATCTCGAGAGTACTTTTTCTCTCTTATGAAGTATAATATATTCAAATCATCACATCCTATGCTTATGCACTTCATGAAAAATGCTGAATTTTATTCTTATGCTAAACGAGCAATAGAGTAAGATAGGAGAAAAATTCACCAATTTTTAACTAAAAAAGTATTAACCTTAAATCCTAGCAGTACCTCTCTATAAATCTAAATAAATATTCGTACTATTTTTGTGAAATGATTTTGCAGTCTACTTATTCATGTATATTTATGCTTAGCTGTGTACATAAATTATTTACCAACAAACATTTTTGTTCCATGAATCCATATGTTTAAGGGGGCATATTTTATGTTTATCCCAACGCGCAACGCGCGTTTTATGCCTCCTAGTATATTCAGAAAGGACGAGCAACTTCTGGTCAAACGACCATGGTGAGCCAAGTAACACTTGGGTATTGTCTGCTTGGTGAAAGAAACGAAAAAGAGCAATATTATCACCAATTATGGTATGGGACATACCATGCGGAGGGTTCCAAACGCCTTTTACTGTAGTTGCCAAGGCTTCCATGTCAACGGGTCTCATAGAGATAATCTTACCAAGAAGGCATAGAGAGCTTTTATGTTGCATGGCAGATTATGATAAGAGAGGGAGCACAACCCGACTTGATTCACCTTCTCAAATAGACAAGGAAGCGCACTGTTTTTCCAAGTCCTCAGCCATCGAGGAATTATGAAACACGTAAACGCACTGAGCCAAGGAAGAACAGAGATAAAACCACGCACTAACTATGAGACTACACTGCAAGAGCAAAGGAAAACTAGTAAGGAGATAAGAAAACTGATAAGAAATAGAAAACAGAGACTCAAACCGAATAAGAGGGAGACAAGCCACAAAAGGAGAAGTATGGCGGCAGCTTAGGGGTATGGGATTGAGAAAAGAAAACGGATGACAGAGACTAAACTTTCACTAGGTTTTGACTTTTGAGGGGCTCAAAACCCTAGGAAAGACTAAGACTTGCAAGACGCAAGAAAGAACCCACAAAGAGAACTCATGGGACGTTTTATTTGTCTTTTTTATGTTGAACAATTTATTTCAAAAGTTCCATCAAGTAACTTGTTAGACTAGTACTTGTTGCCTATAAATTGACATACAAATAGGCATTTCTAGATACTTTGGTAATAACTTATTCTCTTGTCAACTTTTTTTGAGATTGTCTAATTGTTTGAGAGTTTTCTCTTATCAACTGATTGTCTCAATCACTGGTATCATAATTCTGTTTTCGTCTCATTGCTGTAGGATTTGATACTGGACAAATCAACAATATTTGGACGCGATTATTCTGATTTGCCTTCATGGTTGTGAAGTGAAATCCATATAGCTGAAGTGCGCTGTGTTTTTTTTATGTTTCCTCCTTTCTTTGGTAATGTTTTTTGGTGTAGTCTAGAAGAACAGGAGGAGGGATTGAAAAGATTGAGCTCCCCTGATTAGGTGTATCATTTATGCAGCTCTTATATGTTTCTATGTTTCTCACGGCATGCCAAGATATACAAATATCAAGTTAATATGTTTCCTCAGTTGTTGAGAGAGATGATCCCGGAAGCATTCTGTTGCCATCATTCTACTCCCCAAATTGACCATATTTAGCTAATGAACCAATAGAAAATCTAAAATATCTAAATGCGAATGACAATACGTGTGTACTCTTTCTCATTTTGTTTTTCTTGAAAGAAGACAGATTCATCTGGTATGGACGTTAACCAGAAAATCAATAAATTTGACAGAAAAAGGATGGCCATAAAATTGACAGAAAAAAAGGTGGCCAAGCAACTGGTTGGAATAGCATGTATACCTATCATAAAATCTTAATAAGAAGCTGGGCTACTTTCGTACTAAAGCAGGTTACACAATAAATCCAAAATCAAGACATAGTTGTCATCCTGCCCACCAAAAAGAAGAATTAAAATAGAACACTTTACCAGTTGAGTCACTTTCCATTCCTATTATCCTGTACTTGCTTGTTCTACTTAAGTTTTTGGTGAATTTGGCATCTTCAGGGCCATTTCATCATCTCTTTGGAAGGTGAATTTTGAGTTGTGTGCTTT